CGGCCTCTGACAGGTCTTGGGGAAGAGATGGGATTTTCCACCTGCTCCTCTAGAAGCTTCCTTCCGGCGGGGCCTCGTGGCCCCACCTCGGCCCTGTTCCACCTCCGCAAACAGGCTGGAACCCGGGCGTCTACAGGAGGGAGCCCAAAGCGCGCTTTCTGGGCCCCGCGGAAGCCACGAAGCCTCAGACTGCAAAGGGCGAGGAACTCCTGACTCAGCTCGGGAGGCTGCAGACCTGTGGGTCAGGTTCCTCCGGAAGCTCTGGAAACACCAGCCAGCGACCCCTTCCTACCACGGGTCGCGCCCAGGCCCCAGGCAGGGCTCGGCCGCAGAGGCGCCAATGACCCCTAGCGGGAGCGCAAGGCAGAACGCAGGACGGGTGGGGTGGTGGTGTGTGTGTGAGCAAGCCGGTCCCTAACTGGGCTAGGCGTGAGCGGGAGTGGGCAGGGCCGGGGCTCCGGACACCCCTGGTGTGTGTTAGAGCCTGGGCTTCGGAGGCTGGCCTTGAAGCCAGACTCATCGCCACGGCGGGCGTGGGGACGCGGGAGGGCCGGGCAGGGGCGGCTGACGTCCCCAGTCAGCTCCTGAGTCCTGAGCTGCCCGTAAGCCCAGGGCCCTGTCTGCCCGTCTCGCCGGCGGTCGGTCCTGGGCAGGCCTTATCTGGGAGCGCCCTCTGACAGCGGGAGCCGGGCCTGCGGCACAACGCACCTGTCCCCTGGGCCCATCCAAACGCTCCGTCTCCGCCCGGTGTAGTGTGGAGGTGAGCTGGCGACAAACAGAAGACCCCCACGTACCTTACAGCTTCTCCCCGGAGTAGGGGGGCCCAGGCTGCAGGAGGAAGGCGGAAGCGGGCTGGGAAGGGCCTCCATCCCGCTGGGGGAGCCCAGTCCGGAGTGGGCGCAGCTCGGGGTCCTGGCCATCAACACGTCCTCGGGACACACCGGGCAGAGTCCTGCCCAGTCCCTCCAGCCCGGTCCCCAGTGCCAGCTTTCCAGACCTCCCCACCCGTGGGGGCTGGTCGCTCGTGTCCAGGCAGAGGGAGGACTGGAGACCACAGCCTAAGGCCCGGGGTGGCTTTCCAGACCCACCAAATGCCAGGAGGCAGCCGGCTGTTGGTCAGGCCTCGGAACACGTTTCTTTCCCTGTGGGCACAGCTGTAGGGGACAGGAGCTGAGGGAGGCAGACCCCAAACCTCACTTAGTCTCTCCCCAGGCTCTCCTTAAAGCACTTGACACTCCTGTGTGGCCCACCAGCGTTCAAGTCTCAGGCCTGGCGGCTTGCTTTCTCACTTTCTCTCTGTTTGTGTCTCTCTCTGGTCTAATTAAAATAAATAAATAAAATTGGGACCAGCAGTTGGTGTAATGGCTATGTCGCTGGACTCCCACGTAGTCGACCGCTGTTCGAGTCCTGGACCCGGTGGCTTAGAACTCACACCGACCAAGATCCCGACAGGAGAATGGAGGAGAAGGATTTGCAGCATTGGCCATGCCCCCTGGGAGTGATTTCTTGCTTTCTGTCTCTCTGTCTCTCTGTCTGGCAAGCACACGTGCCCTAAAGCAAAAACCTCTCAAAATAAATAAATAAATAAAATTAATTTTTAAAAATAAAAATGTAAATTAAAAAAAAAAAGGCAGAGTAAGATTTTTAGGATAGGGGCCAGAAGATGGTACGGTGGCTGGGGCACTGGACTCCCACATGGCAGACTGTGGTTCGAGCCCTGGACCTGGCAACTTGCTTTCTCACTTTCCCTTTTTCTCTTGCTAGTGAGTAGTCTACAGTAAATTTAAAAATAATAAAAATTAAATCATTCTTTTTCAGAAAGACCCTCGGGCTAACTTATGTTTGCGTGAATTTAAAATAGAACTCAGGTAGGTGCTGTGTTTTGAATGTGTCCCTCTCTTTCACGTGGTAAAGTTTGATGAGCCCTTGAACTTACTCAACTACAGGATGTTTTTTCTAAAGAATTATTCATTTATTTATTTAATTCCATTTGTTATTAATTTGACTAGAGAGAGAGAGAGAAAGGGAAAGGGAGAAAACAAGTTGCCAGATTCGGGACTTGAACCAGTCAGCCATATGGGAATCCAGTACCTTTAACCACCATACCACCTGCCGGCCCCGGGAGGTTTTTTTCTTTTTTTTTAAGAGATTTTGGCTATAGGGCGTGTGCACTCACCAGAAAAACAAAAAGCGAGAAACCACACCCCAGGGGGGATATTCACACCACAATCCCTTCTCCTCCATTCTCCTCTCGGGATCTTGGGCATGCACACACACGCGCCCAGTGTGAGTTTTAAGCCGCCAGGTCCAGGACTTGAACTGCAGTTGACTACATAGGAGTCCAGCAATGTAACCATTACACCATCTGCTGGTCCCTCTACTAGAGGATTAAGAGAGAGAGCCTCCGGGCCAGCAGGTGGCATGGTAGCTGGGCCAGTGGACTCCCACATGGCTGACTGAGCTTCGAGTCCAGACCTGCAGCTTGCTTTCTCTTTCCCTCTCTCCTGGGGAGCACACATCCCTTACAGTAAATTTTAAAAAATAATTTATTTTAATACTTAAAAAACAGAAAAAAAAAAAAAAGGTGGAGCCTCTGGGAGGTGATTAGGATTGGATTTGGTGACCAGGTGGGGTCCCCACCTGAATCCTGGTGGGTCTGTGAGGAGAGGGAGCCAGAGCAGGGCAGACCCGCGACACAGACACGTGCTCCTGAAGGCTCGCAGCAGGTGCGGCCCCTGGGCCCCGGGGCCAGGTCGGCAGTGGGGTAACTGCCATGGCGCCCTGGCTCAGGGTGTTACGGCCGGGAGCAGGAAGAGCTGCTTTCTGGTGGCTGCGCCTCGGCGGTTTCCCGACGTGAGTGTGTGAGTAGGACCACAGGTCGCTGACAAGGCCCAGCCACTCAGGGCACTGGCCCGCACGCCCCACAGCACAGGGGCGGCCCACGGCTCCTCTGCAAGGGGCCCGGGGTCCACGTGGGGGAGGAGGGCCAGGCCGCCCACCAGCACTGGGCACTGCCTGTCCTGCTTGAAGGGACCTAACCCATCGCCTGCATTCTGCCCTCAGGTCCAACATCTAAGTCCGAGCCCCTGAAACGCCAGCTATTTCAAGGGAAAATACAAAGGCGACGTTTCAAGGCACACTGGTACTTCACCCTGGCCTCCCCGCAGTGCGAGACGGGGTGTCTGCAAACCCACGGCAGAGCAGCCCCCCTCCCCGCCAACTTCATGCTCATCCTCCAGGCTAAACAAAAGCCCACCACAAAACACGCCAGGGCTCCACACAGCCTAGCCACAGGAGAGCGAGGGCCGAGTGAAACGGGCAGGAGAGGCCTTGGGGCAGAGCAGGCAATAGGTGGTCCAGGAGGGTCCTGGGGTGCACAGCTGGGCGTTTTTCTGTTGAATGTGTTTCTGTACATGCATGTCTGATAGGACTTCACAATGTTTTTTTGTTTTGTTTTTAGATTTTTGCCATAGGGCATGTGCACTCGGTGGAGAGACAAAGAGGAAAATTGAGAAAGCACACCCCGGGGTACAGCCATGCCACAATCTCTTCTCCATTCTCCTCTTGGGACATTGGGCACACGCACTTGGCATGTTTTCCAAACTGCTAGGTCTAGGACTCAAACCGCGGAGTTGGATATGTGGGATCCAGCGCCTTAACCACTGTGCCACCTTCTGGCCCTACAAGAAAATGTGGTTTTTGTTTGGTTTTAAAGAATTATTTCATCGGGAACCAGCAGTTAGCGTAATGGCTATGTCGCTGGATTCCCATGTAGTCGACTGCGTTTCGCGTCCCCGAACCGGTGGCTTAGAACTCACGCCGGGCACGTGTGTGTGCGTGCCCAAGATCCCGAGAGGAGAATGGAGGAGAAGGGATTGCAGCGTGACCATCTCCCCCTGGGGAGTGATTTCTCGCTTTCTGTCTCTATGTCTCTCTCTGTCTGTCTGGCGCGCGCCCTATAGCAAAACCCTCTCCAAAAAAAAAAAAAAGAATTATTTCATTTAACTTTGTTTATTTTAATTGACCAGAGAGGGAGAGAAAGAGGGAAAGTGAGAAAGCAAACTGCCAAGTCTGGGACTCAAACCATGATCAGCCATGTGGGAGTCCAGTGCCCTTAACCACCACACCACCTGCCAGCCCCAAAAAAGTTAATGTAGAAAAATCTCCATTTCTCTCCCTGCAAAATGCCCTCCAAAGTAAAACCAAACTCCCCCCAAAATGCAGGGGCTCTCACACAAGGGTCACCAGCATCCCGGTGCCCAGCTAAACTCCAGAGGCTGTCCTGCTCTGAGAGAGCTTCTAACTCTGCTAAAGAAAGGGCCTCGCAGGGCAGCCCGCGGTCTGGGGCAGGAAGCCCTGTGCTTCAGTGACTTGGGGCCCAGAGGGGACCAGCTTGGCCTCAACCACTGACACACATCGGTCCCCACTCCCCTGGGGCAGGATATGTGGGATCCAGCGCCTTAACCACTGTGCCACCTTCTGGCCCTACAAGAAAATGTGGTTTTTGTTTGGTTTTAAAGAAGGACAGGAAAGGACAGATGTGCTGAGGGTGTTTGAGGTGGCCTGGCTCCTCTTCCGCACACCCCGGGTCTCCGCACTGGTCACTTGGCTCGTTAACAACCATGGCTCTGGCTCCAACGCCTGGGGAGAGGAGTGGAAGGGGAATAGGGCCTCCCACAGGCAGAGGGCCTCACTTTTCTTCCCCTTCAAGATGTGGAGAGCAGTGACCACAGAGACAACAGCGTGGCCATGGGGATGCATTTGTGTTTATTAGGACATTCTGAACTCGAACTGGATGGCGGCATGGGCAGCCCCCCGCACAGCAGGTTCTGCAGCACGCCCCTCCAAGGTCGAGCCAGCCTCAGCTGTCCAGCAAAGCCAGGCCCCAGAGTGAGGCCTCAGGGCCACCGCCAGACCCGCCTGCTGGAACATCCACCAACACCTGCACCGTGGAGACCGAAGGCCCCAGCGTCTAGGGGACTCAGCCCCAGACCTCTTCTATACCTGACCCCAGCGGCTCCAGCCCTGACGAAGTGAGCATCTCGCACGGCCGTCGTCCAGGGCACTGCTGCACGATGTGCCCAGCGACCTCGCTCAGCATTGCCGCTGTACCTGCCTGGGCTCCGGCCAGCTCCAGTGCTGGGGAAGGAAGCCGTCTTCTCTATCAGCAGCACCAGGATGAGGACACTGTGTCAGCAGCAGACAGCAGCGGGACGGGTCCCCAGCTCCCCCTCGGCTCCCTGGTGAGGGCTCAGCAGACAACCGTGAGGGTGAACAGCTAACCCAGGGCAAGCCGGAGAGTCCGTGGCAGGCTGGGCAGGACAGACGCATCCCCTCCATACAGAACCCAGCCCCCTCGTGTCCCAGTCATGGTGGTCCAGTCTCTAGTCTGCAGGGGAGACGCTGTGAGCAGCCCGGGGCTACAGGAGCCTTTCCAGCAACAACTAGGAGACGCAGGGGTGAGGTGGCCGGGAGGACAAGTGTGACCCACTCAGCAGCTCCGCCCCTCCGTGAGTCCTGGGGCACCGGGCCACGTGCACATGGAGATGCTCTGAGTGGCAGGGGGCGGCGG